AAATCCTGGAGAGCGAGGAAGAGGGCAGTCTTTCAACCCTATGAACCAAATGTTTGTGGGAAGAGGCAGGAGGAGGTGGAGGATCAGATGTGTGCTTGCAACATTCCTGAAAGAGAAGCCAGGAGGATGATAGTTCCACAGAGCGGCAAAGTGGGCTCAAGTGCTCACAAAGGTGAGGAAGAGGATACAATGTAGCAAGACAGAGATGGCAAGGACAAGAGCTGAGAAAGCATTCTGAAGAGCCAGACTCAATGTAAAGAAGCTTTAGGAATACCAGAATCAACATATTTGCCAATACACTTTGCTTTATATGTAAGCAGAGCAGTAAAATATGATAAAAATCCATCTAATTAGGTCCAAAAGGGCCCTTTCAATAAGTACAGAAGAAAGATTTAGCAGGATAAGAAAGCCTTGTGTCGCAGTTTAAAAGCCTTTTTTAATTTCTTGGCTTTATATAAAGTAACAGTGCATCTTACAATTGGCAGCATCTAGGTTTAGATGAAACAGAATTCGCTTGGGAAAAAAAACTGGGAAACAAGACTCCAAAGCACCCCGACCCCAAATATTTCTCTGTTGGTTTATCCCTTGACTTATTGTCTCTGTATTTAATCCCCAAGTCTGTTGTCAGGCCTGATTTACATTGCAGGTTCCCCTGGGGGAAAGCAATAAATCTGTGTGTTTCTCAAGGACAGTGGTTCTCGAAGGGTTGTCCCAGGACCAGGAGCATCAGCATCATCTGGGAACTTGGTAGAAATGCACCACTCTAAGCCCCCACACCCCCACCAAAGACCTACTAAATCAGAGACGAGGTACAGGGTTGTTATAATACACCCTCCAGCTGATTCTGATTCATACTAGAGTTTGAAAAGCACTGCTCTAAGAAAAACTCCCAGCGCCATCAGCTTGAGCACTCAAACTTAACTACTCATGCAAGTTGAACTAAAATGTCCTAGGAATTCATGGTGCACCAGGCACTGTGCTGGGAGCTGAATGTGCCTCACATTCTAAAGAAGTACACGTGCCAATGACTAAGTAAAACAGAAAACAGAACGAGAGGACGGCTGACAGAGGTGCTAATGCCATGCTCTGTTCAGGAGATGGAGGAGAAATTCTGATTCAAGAGTCCTGGTGGGCTTCTCGGAGGAGGTGGCCATGGAGTGGACTCTTCTAGGGGAAGAAGGTTTTAGATGGGTTTTCTATGACAGAGGAGAATGACCCGCACCCCAAGGAACCAGGAGAAGAAAAGGGCACAAAAAGATTCAGAGTCCTGTGAGCGTAAGGGGCCATCCCTCACGCACCCTATAAGAATCCCCCCCCCCTTAAGTCCCCACCACGGACGCTGCTTGTGGCAAGGACTGCCCCGTTGCCACCCCAGGTCCATTGTCCCTTTCCTGCTTAGGAACAGAACCCTGCTTACATTCAGGGAGGCAAAGCAGCCAGGGACAACACTATCTATCATGGCCTCTATAGCAGCTCAGCATGGCTATGGGACTTCAGGAAGGCCACTTACAGGCAGTTTGCCGGTGGCAATGTGTGCCCGTTCTGGCAGCCTCCCCCGTTTCTTCTTGGCTGCCGGCCTACACTGAAGACATTGACGCTCTAGCGCCATATTGGATGCTGAGCTATGGGGCCTATCGCTGAGGATGGCAAAGCCGAAATAGAGTATTCTGTGAATGACACCCTTAAACTACTAAACTAACCTACTGCCAACATCCCGACTGCTTGGATGTGGGGGAGAGAAATCAACTTCCCTCTGGTTTAAGCCACCATTACTGGGGACTGCTGTCACATGCCATGGCACCTCACTGTCCCTGACTCACCACGATTTCTACCGGCCTCCTCTTAATCTGCGGCACTACAGGGTCCTTCTCCTCCTTCACTGAACACCTCTGCCCCAAGCCCCCATTTTCCTCTCCATCTGCTGCCATTCTTCTGGAGAACATTATCACAGAGCCATCGGACCTTTTAGCCTGACAGCGTGGGGTGGGGCTCATTTCCAAGCATCCTCACCCCCATATCCACCCCCGGCCCCAGACCTGCAGCCCCCTCCACACCCTCCCCCCGCAGTGCAGTCCAGGTACCCAGCACATGAGAGTCATCAGGGAGCCAGTCAGAGGAGCAGACTCTCAGGCCCACCCCAGGCTTGCGGACCAGGAGATGCGTATGCCCAGTACAGCTGGGGACACACTACGGTCAACCTCCTCCTCCTCGCCTCCAGCTGCTCACCTCCGGACCACAGAGTGGGAAATCCATCCTCCAGCTACATCCTCCTGTCCTTCCAGGTCTCACCCAGTCATCCCTTCCGACAACTTTAAAAGCAACCCATACTACCCTAATTGCTTGCTACGCACTCTTCCCTGAACAAAATAATTACTTTCACACTTCCCTGCTTTTGTTTTCATTATTCCCTCTGCCTGGAATGCCCTTCAAAATCCCAGAAAACCCGCGGATCTCCCACTTGCCTTTGAGTGCACACACCCAGCACAGATGCCACCTCCAGACCATGAGCATTTTGGGGAGAAGGAACTGGACTGGGCCTTCTCGGTCAGCTCTGGAGCCATGTCACTTACTAGAGTGTGACCGTGAACATGGAAGGCAACCTCTCTCTGTCTCAGTTTCTTCACCTGTAAAACTCAGATGATAGGACCCACGTTTCACAAGGTAGTTCCAAGAAGCCAAATTAAAGCACCTGGAACAATGCTTGGCACATAGTAACCATTTAATAAACGCTAGACACTGATCCTTCACACCAAGACCGAGCGCGGGAGCGGACACACAGTGGGTGCTCCATATACATTTACAGACTCTAGCTTGCAGTTTCTGGATTGGCTTCTGTGCCTTAATTCTTCCTGGGCGCATGAGTCCACCCCACCCACTCTTCTCCCCAGCCCAGCGAAAAGCCGGAATCCAGCCCCCAACAGGAACATTATTTAGATGGAAGAACATTTTCCGCAGCCGTCCCAGTCCTCAGAGCCTCGCCAAGAAATAGAAAAGAAAAGCAATATAAATGTTAATAGGAAATTGTCTATTCGCTTTTACGGAAGCTAACCTACTGCAGCCCAACAAAGAGAGAATTAGACAGCTGAAGGGACAGGAAAACATGGAACCTTGACACGCTGAAGCCCAGGGGACTGCAGTTCCCAAGAGGAAACGCATTCCAGGCCGATGAGGCTGTGTGGAAATCAGGACAGAGGGCTTCTGCTTTGGAGGTCTCCACGGCGGGCAGCCTGGTTCCTGCCCTGGCCCCCGATTTCTGGGCATCCACCATCCTGTGCCTATGAAGTGCGGCCACTGGTCCGCATGGTACGGATAGCAAGGCAAGGACAGTGCAGTCTCTGTTCCCAAGGACTACTGGGACGGGCAGACAAATAAACCTGATCAGACAGTGCGGAAGGGCACAGGCTCAAGGTGCCAGGCAGGCAGGAGAAGCACGTTACCAGATCAACGGGGCAGGAGATGGAGGAGGTCTTCTCAGAGAGAAGACCCGGGGACTGGGCTCTGGAGGGTAACTAGGGATCAGCCCCATAAAAGCAGCAGGAAAAGGTGTCCCAGGCAGCGAGAACACTAGGTACAGAAAGACCAGGGAACTGCACTGGGTTAAGCTAAATAACGATCGCCCAAAGATGCCCAAGGCTAATTCCGAGGCTGCCGTGAATGTTACAGTATGAGGCCAAAGAGACTCTGCAGGTATGATTAAAGATTTTGAGACGGGGCAATTATCCTGGGTGATCTGGGCGGGCCCAACGCAATCACAAGATCTTTAAGACACATGCAGGAGCTGTTGGCATCAGAGGATGAGTCACTTGGACACGGAGGCAGAGATTGGAGTGGTAACACTTCACAGACGGAGGAACGGGTCACAAGCCAAGGAATGCAGGCAACCACTTGAAGCTGAGCAAAAGCAAAGAAACGGATTGTCCCCTCAGAGCCCCCCGAAGGAACCGGCCCTGTGACACCCTGACTTCAGCCCAAAGGGACGGATGTTGGACTTCTGACCTCCAGGAGTAGGAAAGAATGCCTCTGCGTTGTTTGAAACCGCGGAGTGCGTGGTAATTCTTTATAGGAGCAATGGAAAATTAACACACATATGCTGTCTGAGGGGCATCTTCAGGAATGCTAAGGAAAAGTCACAAAAAAATGAAACTGAGGAAGGGGGCAGCCAGGGGCCAAACCATGAACGGATTTGTGCACCAGGCTGAGTTTCCATTTTACCCTCAGTGTGGAGCTGCTGCTAAGGGATATTAAGCAGAGGGATGATATAATAAGATTGCCCATGTGAAAGCACTGAAACGTCACATTTTTAGATCTTAAATCTCAGGAATTGCCACACGTCTAATTCTCCATTTTATTGACTCATTTCTTTTTATCATGGACTGGAATGACTTTATGAAAAGGAGGAATAACCTACTGGAATACGGAACTCTGTTGCCAGCCCCCCCCCCCCAGTGCCATTCTACGGTTTTGGAAGATGCACACCTGCACAGGTAGGGCTACACTCAGGTAGGAGCCTGCAGGTGCAGAAAGCTGGACAGCACCGGGGATTGAGAGTGTCCCCTCCAAAATCCTGGATGGAGGACTGCCCTATGCCTAAAAAAGATCCCATTCAGATGCTCCCTCCCCCCGACCCCTGCGCCTGGCCTCCAGGAAGGGGAAAGGCAACCTAGGGTGTATTGAATGCTCACTCGGGGCCAAAAGCTTTGTGAACATTCCCTTCACGGCTGAGTCTCCAGTGACTGAGTCCCACTCCTTGGGCACCACTGTCGCAAGGCACAGGGCCCATCAGAGAATGCCAGGCAGAGGAGAAGAGGAGATATTCCATCTCCCCATGCGTGCCCCCCCCCCAAATCTCCGCAAGTCTCTGCCTGCACATGGAAAGGCTTTAAATGTAAAATTCCAGCCAGCCTCCAGGCTCCGTGCCCTTCCCCCCTCACCCAGTGCGTGTATCACACCCTCCGCCCACGTCCACCTCTTCAGGGCCTCTGACAGCTGCGCCTTTTGCCCAATGTCACTCGCTGCCAAAGGGATTGCTTAGGTGGCCTCTAAGCAGCCCTGGATCTGAACAAGCTGGGTTTGCTCTGGCACTGCCACGAGCCCCCGGAGGCCATGGGCCAGGCCCTGCGGAGGTTCCAAGGCAGTGCTTCGGCTGCCACCGAAGCAGGGGAGCC